GAGGGCAGGGACCCTGGTTGGCCTCCGCTTGCTTGCCTGGTGAGGGGTGAGTGCACACACTTGTGTAGGGCGGGCCCTGCTTACGGTCAAGTGCATCTACACCCGGTGCTCAGAACTGCTTGAGAGAGGCTCTCAGGTTCTGGAATCGCTCCACCTCCCCTCACTTGGGCCATAGGCAGGAAGGATTCCATGGAAACAGAGAGCCGGCCTGCGCCTCTCTGCCATCCCCTTCTGCCTGGAGCATCTCCCAGGACCCCTGACAAGCTTCTCAAAGAGAGGACCATCGGTGCTCCATGGCTGATTGCCACAGATGGCATGGTTCAAGCCAGACATGACGATTTCCTATGTGATCTGTGAGTGTGGCTTCCTAAACAAGTGCGGTGACACCTATTTGTCATCTAAATCTTGAGAAATACTTGACCATGATGCACGAATGGTCAAGGAACCACTCAGGTGTGCACCCAACTAAAAGTAGTACTGCTCAAGTGCTCTCAAAGGAGGCAGGCTTCTTTGGACTCCTGGCTGACTTCTGATCAGATATTTAGGCTTGATTTTTTTTAAAAGAAAGAATATGAGCCCACATTTTCAGGAAACATAAAGATTGTATCTTTTCTCTCCCTCTCTCTCCCTCTCTCCTTCATCTCCTCTCTCCCTCTCCTTCTTTCCTTTTTACCTTAACCAAAGGCTTAGTAAACTAATATGCTACCAGTAGGAAACTGTGCTCCTTTCTACTTGTTTCAACTAAATTTGGGGTAATGGGTAGAGTAATACACACGTTAATAAGTTGTTCCAGTTTTACCACTGTACATACAGACACAAATACATACATCACTGCAATGTAAACACAAGATGACCCCTTGCTCCAAACAATATACAGCCCCAATCCCTGACAATTGTTACCCTCCAGAATCTTTTGTAGAAAATGCACTCATGGACAATAAACCCTTTGCTCAGTCCAGGAGCTGCTCAGAAAGGAAAACATGTACAGTAGTGCACCACATAACAACGTTTTGGTCAATGACAGACCACATGTCTGAGAGTGGTCCTGTGAGCTTAGACCATCAAATGATATCATAGCCATCTTCGCTGGTGTAAAAACATTCTCTGATGTTCCTACAATGACAACTCACCAATGACACATTTCTCAGAACATATCCCCACTGTTAAGCACTGCATGACCATAGTCGTACAAATACATCAGCATGTAAACATTATTCACTAGCACATTAGCCATTGTGAAGATCAAGAACGATTGAGTGTCTTTTAGAATGTTTTAATAAAATAGTTTTTCTAAACAGAGATTATATATTAGTAAACACTGTAAATCTCACTAATACATTTTACCTATGTCTATTTCTATTCAAAGTAAAAATATGAAGATAAATTAGGGAGAACCAAACCCTAAAACCCAAAAACAAAATTCTCAGTTTCCAAAGATGCATTCATTTGGAGGAAAAGAGATAGTACATCAAACTCAAGTTATCCTTAAGAAAAGGAATAAGAAAGATAAATGAGGTGAAATGATAAAAACAAAAGCAGCCAACAAACAGGAATTGGGTGGAATATTCTCCTAAATAATTAAAAATTCTGATTAAGGCAGGGTAGACAGACTGCTAGAAAAAGGAGTTCTGAAAATGTTTGCGGCACGCAAATTTTGGACTATGATCCGTATGTTTATTACTTCCATTTTCCCCTTAATCTAACTTCTAATTTTGTTATAGTTTGGAAAAGATATTAAACTTTCATCTCAAATTAATTGCTAAGGATTAATATGGAACACGGAAAAGGATTGCAATGATGACTTTGGTACAGCATACTATATTTCATCTATCATCATATCTGACTAAAAATTTGAAAATTTATCCAGCAAGGTATATCTACATTCTACCACTTTACTTAGTTTTAATTTCACTGAAAGTTACTTAAGAGAGCAAATTTTTCTTTTTCTTTTCTTTTTTTTTTTTTTTTTTTTAATCTCTGTATCACCAGCCTGCAAGTGCTAGACCCAATGAATGTGGTTGATTACCTGATGTTTTAACTGAAATTACCAAGACGGGGTGCTATGATCTGGCCATCAAAGTATCAAAGTGACCAAAGCGCTGCTTTCCGTACTGGGGAAGGGGCTTCACTCATTGACAAAACTGACCAAAAAATTTCTCCCTGTTGTAAACATGAACAGTACTGGATACAAAATCGGTTGTAACAGAAACTGAATAAGCTCTCATTTTCCTGAAGACCAGAATCTGATGGTGGGGTAAGATTTCTACTTAAATTTTTATCCAATAAATCTTTAAAAATCCAAATTCAAACACTGTCCTTGCAAGTAGATCTCCTTATATTAACAAACAAGCGGCCGGCACCACGGCTCACTAGGCTAATCCTCTGCCTGTGGCGCTGGCACACGGGGTTCTAGTCCCGGTCGGGCACCGGATTCTGTCCCGGTTGCCCCTCTTCCAGTCCAGCTCTCTGCTGTGGCCCAGGAGTGCAGTGGAGGATGGCCCAAGTGCTTAGGCCCTGCACCCCATGGGAGACCAGGAGAAGCACCTGGCTCCTGCCATCAGATCAGCGCGGTGCACCGGCCGCAGCACGCTGGCCGCGGTAGCCATTGGAGGGTGAACCAATGGCAAAGGAACACCTTTCTTTCTGTCTCTCTTTCTCACTGTCCACTCTGCCTGTCAAAAAAAAAAAAAAAATCAAACGAGCTTTGTTTTCCAAGAAAGTACTCTGCGAAGGCTCAGGCAGGTCTTCTATTATGCATAAGTTAATTAATCAAGAAAGTTAGGATGGCCCAGCCAACCATCCCAGAATACCCTCATTAGCCTTTGCAGTCAAAACCTTGCTAGGGACAACTCCACTTGCCCTGTTTGAGGCATCAAACTTCTTGCTTAAAAACTCAGCCTGTGCTAGGCAGAAAGGAGGTGCTGGTGGGCCCTCCCTTCATTTACTCTTAACTGCCACTCATCATCATTATCAAAATGTTCCTAAAGTGACAGCTTAGGCCCCAAAGGTTATTTTCCCACAGGTGAGTTGGGAATTCACTTTACAAACAGCCATGTATAGGAAAACTGATAGAAAACAGGAACTTTAACGTTTTCATGAAAAATGGGTTCGTGGCAATGCTGTCCCTGTAAAGACATAACCTGGGGTCTGAAGTGACTTGTTGCAGCCTATTGATCTAAGAAATACATATTTAAGAAAGTACAAAGTGGATGTGATAAGTTCATAAATGTCCTACACTAGGATGGGACTTCAGTACATGAAGCAAGCAGGAGGAAGCTGTGTCTAAGGCTGTCACCGGAAATGTAAACATTACAGTCATTCCTTGGTATCACAGATGATTGGTTCCAGGAACCACCTTAAGTCTTAAGTCCCTTTTATAAAATGGTTTATTTGCATATAACCTACACACATACTGTCCTATACTTTTAGTCATCTCTGGATTACTTATACTACCTAATACAATGCAAATGCTATGAAAGTAGTTGTTTATGCTATATGAAGGGGTATTTAAAAAGTTCATGGAAAATGCATATTTTCTTTTAATTGCAACATCCTCAAACTTTTTGAAGTATTCTTGTATTACTAGGGAATAATGACAAGACAATAAATCTGTATATATTCAGTACAGATGTAATTGTTATAGATGATTTTTGTTCTGCATTAGGCTGATTCAACAGATGCAGAACCCGCCAATATGGAGTGCAGACTGTACTTTGTTGGAAAAACAAAGGTGAAACTCTTTATATCTAGAGTGCAAAATATAGCAGTTACGTGCTCAATCTGGAGGATTTCATTATTGGTAATGTTTTTTCCAACCTGCTCAGTTTAAACTGTGTTCTGCAGAGACACAGAGGGCCTCCCTTTCCTGCAGGAAGCACTGTCTCCCTCACATTGCCTGGCCTGCTCACTGGGTTGGAAAACCTTGTGTTGTATTTACAAATTTGAAAAAATGGTGAAAGTTGCTGCTTATCTGAGTAATTCAAGCAAGGCAATTTGCATTTATCTCAATTACTTGAACTGCACATTCAAACAGTGCTTATTCTGGGTGTGTTGTATATATATGAATGTGTGTTTTTTCTGCCTAATTGTAGTTTAACTCAGGTTCATGTTTAACATAATCTGAAAAACCCACTTGGTTAACTCAGACCATGACAAAATTGTTAGTAATTGATTGTTAAACTAATATTTTAGGATAAATTTACTTAAACGTTTCTAATATTGGGCTTTTATGTAAGCAGAATAATAAGAGGTGTAAGGGATTTAATCGACAATATTAAAAACCAAAGCAGCATCCAATTAGAGAACAGTTTGAAAATAAATAAATAAATAAATAAATAAATAAAAGAAATATCCTTCTTAACCTTGATAAAACTGGATCAGGCTCGTTTTCTAGAATTGCTAATTTGCAATCAAGAGAAATTTCAAAATGAGGAGTGGCAATGCTCTAATTTGTAGTCTCCCAAACTCTCAGGCATTAAGAAAAAAGCAAACCTCATTTCTATTCTCCCAGAAATATGAGTAAATGAGTTTTTATCCTATAATCTCAATACATGTTTTCCTCTCATAATTATAGAAGTCTGCTTTTATAATAAAAAAAGTGTGTCAACAAGGGATCTAAGATAGTACCTGTCATTTATCCTGAAGTGCTGTTATTGTTGTTGTTATTATTATTATTATTTTGGTTCTTTGTATGTGACTATATGGAGAACACTAATGTGGAGATACTGCTAAACTGAGTGAGCCTTAATGTTCCCTTCAGGCCAATCTGAGAAAAGAAATACGTACAGAGTACATACTTCCTAAAATGTAGGGCCATTGCAAGGTGGGGAATTAACAGAAAACTGTGCACTTAACATTTATAACATATTTACAATCTGGTTCTTCCCCCCTTATTTCCAGATACATTTCTGAATAAAACTTCTTTAAATGATAGTGTTCTGAAATGGACACTGATCAGTACAAATGGATTTGACATTTTGGTGTATTTTATTTACATGAGCTTGACAGGCAGAGTGGACAGTGAGAGAGAGAGACAGAGAGAGAAAGGTCTTCCTTTGCCGTTGGTTCACCCTCCAATGGCCGCCGCTGCAGCCGGCGCACCGCGCTGATCCTGGCAGGAGCCAGGAGCCAGGTGCTTTTCCTGGTCTCCCATGGGGTGCAGGGCCCAAGCACCTGGGCCATCCTCCACTGCACTCCCTGGCCATAGCAGAGAGCTGGCCTGGAAGAGGGGCAACCGGGACAGAATCCGGCGCCCCAACCGGGACTAGAACCCGGTGTGCCGGCGCCGCAAGGTGGAGGATTAGCCTATTGAGCCACGGCGCCGGCTCTAAATGATAGTGTTCTGAAATGGACACTGATCAGTACAAATGGATTTGACATTTTGGTGTATTTTATTTACATGAGCTTGTTTGTTTATCCTGTCATTCACTAATTTTTATAGAAACTGAAACTGAAATCTCACATATATACAATTTATAAACTCTCAGAAAAATCTCTCAAAAACAGTTGCAAGATCTTCGACTGAATTCAAAATGCTTTGAGCCTTGAGAACATTGAATTAAATATGGTGATAAAGACTAATAGTTGGAGACCAGTTGTAATATTCCAAGTCTCAGAGAAATGACATAAGTTTCCAGTTTGGCAGCTGAGAAAAAAATTATGAAGGAAGAAGAGGTTTTGTTTGTTTTGTGTTCTAGCCCTTTAGAATGTGGCCCATTGATTTTTAGTTGTGGCAAGCTCTGGTCAATGCAAAATGGAATGGGGTGGGGGGAAGGCTGGTCCCTTTCCCCATTGCTTCCCAGAATGTGAAATTTTGTCTAAACTCTTACTTTTACTGCAGCAAGCCATCACTAGGGGAAAAGGTTTGGTGTAAGGTTCTCTATGGACACTTGACATCCCCATCAGAAGGGCTATGAAACTAACTGTTAGATTGGCCCCAATTCCCCATATGTGGCATGAAAATAGTTCACTATTAAGAACAAGCATTTTCTCCATTGAGGAATCAAAAAAAAAAGCATTATATTTAATTGATTTGGTGTAAAATGAAGCATAAAACTTTGGCATATAAAGAAATGAAATTCTATTTCCATTCACACACAAAAAGAGAATAAAACCTGGCTTAAAATACAGCTGATTTCAGGAGGTGGAAAACTTTACAAGATATGTGTTATGTGAGCTTTTTGTTTTGTTTTAAGGCATATTTTGGATAGATTGAGAGAAGTGCTGGCTGGGTCCAGAGTAAGTTATTTCAACATTGTCCTTCTCTGTTCAGTATTTGGGGCCTCTGTTCTGGTCAGTGGTGCTGGGACTTTGCAAGTCAAAATTTATATAGGCTCTAAAGAGACATTTTGCTCTAATTCCATTCATCCTAAATGTCTTTCCTTCCTTCCCCCTTTCCCCGTGGTGCAGCTTAAAAGAGAGGCAGTCACAGTTTTAAGTAAAATCCACAGTGGTCAGAAATTTGAATCCTTGTCAAAATACAGAACTGTCATCTCCTCGCTGTAGAGTATTTCTGAAATTGAGGAACACAATAGCACCTTTGGAATGCAAATCATTTGGATCAAAAATGCTTCCCAAGTCTACATGCAAAGCATGGGCAGAGCTGTGTGAACAGCCTTGAGCCGAGTGCCCCCACATAACCCTCAGAAGCAGACTCCCAGCAAAGGAGAGTTGTGCAATTGAAGAGGGATGTGCCTCCCTCACACTCTCCCTGCATGCCTCTGCCTCCTTCCTCCAAAAAGTAAACACACCCATGTGCTGAAAGCCTCTGAGTGGGGTGCACTGAAGTCTCCCATACTGTGGACTGAGAAAGTTCATCTCAGGAGTTGAGACTGACACAGAAACAGTGAATTATGCAAGCCTGAAGAGAAACAGGCATTGCATTGCAGTGATTTGGGGGATGATGCTTTAGCTCGTTTCACTCAAGAATCTATTTTGTGCTCTGTTAGTGAACATCTGCTCGACTCTCTAGAGATGAAGGTTCTCCTTTATGGAACAGGAACCATGAACTGCTGTGTTTTGATCACAAGGACTGCTGAGGTTCAGAAGACAATGGCTAGATTCAGAATAGAGAGGCAATTGGGATATATCTGCTGTGTGCAAAATTTCACAAGAGTTGGCAAAAACATCCAAATATTGAGTGATTTTGAAATAAGAAGCCTCATTAAAACTGTTTTTAAGGTAAAATTGGACCACATCTGTGTTCTAAAAAAGTTTTTAGGTTATTTTCCTCCCAAGAAGAATTTTACTAGAAAATTCAGTTCTCTGCAGAACTTTTTTCAAAATGTAAAAGGTTGAAATTTTTCATATTGTTGGCATCCTTCAAGTGGGAAGTTGTGTTGGAGGAAGACTGCCCTCTGTGGCAGTGTGGTGGTGTAAAGGGGGGATTCCTGTGCTCAGGAACTGTGACGGGCAGGCGAGGTTGAAATTCTCCACAAAAGGAGAAAGTTCATTTCAGCCAATGTTTTCAACTTATTGTTTTTTAAATTTTAAAAGCCAAATTTGCTTAGTAGAAGCTAATTGGCTTGAGGCTTATGAAGCAACTATCAAATCAAAAGGTAGAACTGACAAGAAAAATGAGTATGACTGTTTCACACTATACAGACTTGAACTTCAAAAATCAGGTGATAATGAATCTGTATTTTTGCATTCACTTGATACGCAACAAAGTTGAGAAGAATAAATGGATGTATCTAATAGGAATTTTTCTATCCTTTTCTGCTCCCAACCCCTCCTTTATCTCATTTACAACCAGTGAATTTGTGAAGTCACCACTTTTATATAATTTCTCTGTATAATGTTTTAGTTTTTTTTTTTTTTTGAGTAATAATAGTATTCACAATAGATAATTTAAAAATTCATGGTTTCCAAAAATAATTAAATTTGTCTTCTGGGTGAGAAGGATGAGAAGCACAGACATTTTGATACCAAAATTTTAATAATGCTCAAGCATTATTAAATAACTAGTGGGACCCCTTCCCCCACTGATGTTGGAAAGCTTCAAAAGAGGCTTATGAAGCACACACTGGCATCCAGTTATAACAAAGAACTAGCATCAGGAAGCAAACAGGTTTTGTGTTATAAAAATATCAAAAGAGTATTGATTCAAGGGGGATTTTTTTCTTTGGAATTTTGCTATGTATCCATATTTCAAGGTATAAAATATTTTTTGTTCATCAAAATATATAATTGATGACAGCCATTACTGATTTTTTTTGCATGTAAATTTGGTTTGATTTGAAAAGTAATAAAATGTTTAAGATTCTACCTACATCTCTTTCACACTCTGGAACAGATTTTCAAGACAAAGGCTTCTGCATGCTGTATGCCTTTCTTTGCAAGCTGAAGACATTTATTTAACCCATGTAACACAAGCTGGACACATACTCTGGGATTGAACTTGGTCTAGTAAAACACAGCTCTTAAGGTAAAACGTTGAACTAGTCCAAGAACCCACACTTTAAATACTATTGACTCTTGGCAGTTTGGGTTAAAGCTCTAACCTAATGCTCAGAGATAACCAATTCTTTGATGTCAATGACATAAAACTTAAAACCAAATTATATTTTTCCTCAAATGGGAAAATGTACATGTACACTCATTCAAGGTCTAGGGTGAGGCTGGAAGGTAAAAGGGTGCTAACAGTGAAATGGTGCCAAAGAAAAACAGGCCACAGAAAGAGGAAACTGGGTCAGATCTCACTGCAGCTCACACCTGAACTCAGAGAGTCCACAAGCACAGGACCGAGGGCAGCTCAGAGTGTCTGCACCAGAAATGTCTCAATACACATGGGTGCTGATGGTAAGGACTGCAGAGGGACAATACAGAAGGAGTAAGGCCTGAGAGCGCGTCTCAGATAACTGCTTGCATGTTTTACAGATTTCTTCTCACGGGCAGTTAATCCATAGCTGCTTCCAATATGCAAAATCATTCATAAACATCTTCAAGCCACAGATTCAGTAAGGGGTGAACAAGAATATCGCTTTAAAATTCAATGAACATGGGTGTGTTTGTGTGTGTGAAATTTATAGTAGAAATATTTGCCAGACACTTCCTGTGATATGGAAAGGTAATTTATGACTTAAGATAAACTGAACAGTGTCCTTCCTTGGTACTCTCGGTTGGTCACTAGTGGACAGAGAATGATGGAAGGAAAAGAATGTGAACCAAGTGCTCTTCACTGATCACTAAGGGCAACATTTAAAGATACAGGTACCCAACCCAATAGACCAGGTTAAAGAGCAGGAACGATGTGGGGAAAAAGACCCGGGAGTATGAGTCCAGCTCCAAGATGTCTATGTGGATACGTCCTTTTCTCCAAGAGCCTGATTTACATTCTTCATAGCAGCAGAAGAAGCTCTGACAGTCTTTGCCGTCCAGACACTCATAGACACAGGTATCCTCAAATTCTTGCCAGTACACGGAATTGTTTAAAGTGATCATCGTAGGTGGTGGTGGCCTCATGTCGAGGAGAGAGTAGTTCTGTAGGCAACGAGAAAAACATGGCAACCATCATGAAATGCAGTACAGACAGACTGAAGTGTATCAAGCATTAGGTACAAATTACATCTGACTACTAGATAAAAGGGATGGAAGGATGTGCCCATCCCCCACACTGCCAAATCAATCTTTTCAAATCAATGCAGGTCTAATGTAAGGAAAAATTGTATTGCAATTTCCAAACTTGTATTTTCCACACTATTAGTAAAGGTGGTTGAACATATTTTCAAATATGTATTAACCATTTCAAGTCCCTATTCTGTCCTCTTTCTGTTGATTTGCAATAAATATGCACATATTATATATTTATTTCTCAATTTTTTTTACTTTTCATTAATATGAAGAGAGCAGACTTCATTAATTTCATAGGTACATTTCTAAGAAGATAACTATACTTCCCTCCGTCCCCTGCTACCTCTCTCGACATCCCTCCCACCTTCCTTTTTTTCTTTAATTTTTGCAAAGACATAATTTCAATCCACTCTATAATCAGAGGATTAATTCACCAAAAACCATAATATTCAACAAGTAAAAAGTAGGAATACTATAGTTCCACAGGAGTATCAACAAGAGCTAAAAAGAACAATCATATCACAAGATGTCCATTTTATTCCTATACATTATATTGTATTCTATATTAACTGCTACACAGCAGAGAAAACATGATATTTGTCTTTTTTTGAAGTGGCTTATTTCACTAAGAATAATGGTTTCTAGGTGCATCCATTTGTTGTAAAAGAGAGGATTCCATTCTTTTTTACAGTTCAGTAGTATTCCATAGTGTATATATGTGGGGAGCAACTGGGAGCAACTCGGACTAGACTAAGTTACTGGAATTAAGACTTATTCTATGCATCTGCTCTCCCACAATATGGCGCTGGGAGAGGAGCAAACAGCTTCTACCCAGCTGCCTTTCACCAACTTGACAAGCTGCAGGAGCTGCTCCTGATCGGAGGAGAGCAGCGTACTCGGCGTGTGGGTAGCAGAGTTGGGATTGGTGGAAGAGGACTATAAAGGAGAAGAGAGACAACATGCACCAGGAACATCTAAGGGGAACATCTGAAGGAACACCTGTGCAGCCCCCGAGAGAGCCGGCCGGCGGTGTGCCGCTCCCCCGTGGAAGTGGGGAAGGTGGCAGGGGGAACCGCCCTTCCACGGAGGTGGAAGGGATGGTAGCCAACCCGGGAAGAACCAGCAGCAAACCCGGGGAGGGCCGAGCAAACAAAAGAACAGCGCAGGGTCTTGTGTCGTTCCTCCACGAAGAGGGGGAGCGACATATATATACCACATTTTCTTTATTTGGTCATCAGTTGATGGACATCTAGGTTGATTCTATATTGAAGTATGTGAACCTTCTAAAATATTAATAGTAAAAAGCAAAGTTAGAAGAATGATGGGAGAATCTCTTTGTCCACGTAATTTGCATTAAAAGTGAGAGTTGGACACTGCTCCCTCAAGAAAGAGAACCAAAAATGGGTTTTTGAGTACTCCACACTTCAACCCTTTCTCCCTGGTTTAGGACTCCACTACCCCAATCAAAGAAGATCTAAAAATAGAAGGCAAAGAGGTACCATGTTTCCTTATAATAGTATCTTTTGGTAAAAAAATGAGATTCTCATGATACTTTCTAATCGCTTCTATCCCAGCATTGGGACAATCTGGCAAAGGAACTAGCCAGCCATTTAGAACTGGCTTCTATGTCCACCTCTCCCTGGACATGGTTTTATTTCTACTTCTGCAGTTTACCTCCCGATATGGAAAACTCAATGTGGAGCAGATAAAGGAGAATGAATGAGAGGAACCATCCCATACTTTGATAAGTAGCTTCAAATGAGCTGTCCATTCCACAGACAGTTGCTGCGATAATCTAAATAGCTGTGAATTATGTATTTATTTATTTGTTTATTTTGACAGGCAGAGTGGACAGTGAGAGAGAGAGAGAGAGAAAGGTCTTCCTTTTGCCGTTGGTTCACCCTCCAATGGCCGCTGTGGCCGGTGTACCGCGCTGATCCGAAGGTAGGAGCCAGGTGCTTCTCCTGGTCTCCCATGGGGTGCAGGGCCCAAGCACTTGGCCATCCTCCACTGCATTCCGGGGCCACAGCAGAGAGCTGGCCTGGAAGAGGGGCAACCGGGACAGAATCCGGAGCCCCAACTGGGACTAGAACCCGTTGTGCCGGTGCCGCAAGGCGGAGGATTAGCCTAGTGAGCCATGGCGCCAGCTGTGAATTATGTATTACATTGAATTCTGCTAGGGGATACAGTCCTAAGTTTGACTGAATAGACGAAAGGAACTAAAAAAAAAAAAACATTTTCTTGTCTGCTTTTAGTGCTATCTTGTGATACTGAACTAAGACAGGCATGCCAGTGGAAGCCCTGGGATGTGATGCCCAGGGAGAGGTGGACACAGAAGCCAGTTCTAAATGGCTGGCTAGTTCCTTTGCCAGATTGTCCCAATGCTGGGAAAGAAGCGATTTAGGACTCATTAGAAAGTATCATGAGAATCTCATTTTTTTACCAAAAGATACTATTATAAGGAAACATGGTACCTCTTTGCCTTCTATTTTTAGATCTTCTTTGATTGGGGTAGTGGAGTCCTAAACCAGGGAGAGAGGGTTGAAGTGTGGAGTACTCAGAGCCCTTGTAAATGGAAGCATCTGCCTCTGTGTGAGGACAGACTTACAGCACAGTGCCCTGCACCAAGTGTTCATTAAGCACCCGTCTACCTTCCTCCACAATTCTTCTGGATAGACAGAAGTGAAAATCTTGCTATCCCTGCAATGCTATCTAATATGGAAAGGTATCTTTTAGGTTAATGGTTCTTAAATTTGCAGGTATTAAATCTCTTAACTACCACAAGTATTTGCTGAAATAAAGCAGATTCCTCCTTCTACTCCCATGCATTTCAGAAATGTGTATCTTTCCAACAGGCTCAATTTGTAAAAAATTTGCCTTTAATGACATACAAGTGCAACAAAGGATTTCTGACATGTGTGCTTTGACAATGCTTAGCCAGATTTCCATCCATTCATTTCCTCAACTCTGTAAACTGCGTTTCCTCTTACTGTGTGGAACTGACTATGGGTTTCAGGGCTTTTTTTTTTTTTTTTTTTTTTTTTTCTGGGGAAAGACTGACTCAGAGTGGCCCCAGAGAGCTCTACAGGGGCAGGGAGAGCTCACCAGAGATCTAAAAGGTGATTTCTGGAGGCCGCAGGCAAACAAGCAGCAAGACTTTGGGAAACAAGAGAAAATCCCTCTTCAATTCCTCATTTGCAGAACTAAAAACCCAAGGTAACTGAAATGCAGACTCATTAAAATATTTATGAGGGTTCTATTTCTGTGTTTTGATAGCTCACTGGAAATGAAACTAATTCCATTTTACAAGATTGAAAGAAAATTTATTGTACGGCAAAGTGACTATAGTTAATAATGATAGTCACACATTATATGCTTGGAAAATGTAGAGTGAATGCTATGTGTTATCACCACAGAAATGATAACTATGTGAGATATTACTAGATTTAATTATTCCACAATTTATATAGATGTTGTACACAATGAAAGCATACAATGTTATCTCTCAATTAAAAAAGAACTCTAAACAGCTATAGCTTACATTGCATAAGAACTTACTTACATAAACCCTGCTTTTTGTGATGAAAATATCATAAATAATCAAAATAGATATTTTAACTAATAATTTCCCAAAGTCAACTTCAGCCAGTGTGCATCCCTGAATAACTCCTCCTTTTGCCTGGGTATAGAATGCAGCCCCAAGACCTCCCCTGAGCTATGTTTGCTGGGCACATGTGAAGTCCATTAGCTTTGCATTTGACGGGATAAGAAACTGTGGCACAGAGAAGTTAGAGCAATCTGTCCCCAGTCACACACATGATCCCTCATGGATTCTAGCTCCTGATAAATTCATTTATGCTTTTTCTTGTTGGCCACAGTAGCCCCTGAACTAGCATGAGGAGAGAGTGGAAATGTTGGCAATTCTCATCTAATAGTGGATAAACTTCCTGTTTCTCTGCTGTCATATGACCTCCTGCTGCTGATCTCTGATGGTGTCTTCTCACCTGCCTGGCACCCTTTCAGCCTGCGAATTGTGTTTCTTTGTGCGTCCTTTGAGGTCATTAAACTTCCTCTCATTTTGTAAAAATTTCTCCTACTTTTGTGAGAATTTCTTTTCTCTTTGTGTGAAAGAATATTTTTTTTCCTTTTACCGATGGTATCCTTTCTACACCAAGATGCCCGCATCTCCCTCAGCTCCAGCCCCGGCTGTGCATGTGTGATGACGTGCTCCTTGGCCCTCAGCCTGTCAGTTCTGACTCTAGTCTGATCTTCAGCCACCCCTTCCCAAGGTCAGGCTGTTCTACCTGGATGGCTTGCCAGGTGCAATTTGTATTTTTACTGTGGTGTTCCACAGCTGTAGAAGTGGCTTGTTCATTAACCTTCTTTTAGAACGACCATGATACACATCTGTAGATAGCTACTGTGTCCCCTATGAAAATACATTGAAATACACCGAAGAGAAGGTACAGGTTAAGAGTTAGTAAACCACCTGTGGTGCATGGGTGGGCACAAAACATTCTGTGAATAACTGAATTCATAAGCACAGAGGAAAAAATTCAGAACTATATATGTATGTTATTGTATGATGAAAGTGGTAGCTCATATCAGCAATTTAAGGATATATTTATTGCCAATAAAACTTGATCCTTACCAAGAATTATATACTAAGAATTCAGATATATTAATAATTAAATGTAATATTGTCAAAACTTGGTGACTATAGAGCCCAATTTCTTCACATTTCATTTTCCTCATATCTAGAATGAGTTTTTTGAGCACGCGAGTTGATGCACTTAAAACATATTGTCAAGCAAAGTGCTCAAGAGACAGTGAGGGGGGTTATACTATTCTGAAATAGGTGGGAACTTCCAAAGTAGGATACAAGATACAGAAACCACAAAAGGAAGGGCATATAGATGGGAAAACACGATACTTGAAATGATTCATGGAAAAGAACTACAAGGAAGGATCGTACAAGGTTGGCAATGAAATATGGAATAAAAACTACACTAAAAGTTTAATATCTTTAATATGTCCCAAATGTGACTACACAGATTATGGGTGTGTTATAAAACATAATATACATAATGTATAATATAAATAACTATTATTTTAAAATACTAATAAAATTTAAAAGACATTAAGATGCAGTTCACAAAAGGAGGATTACAAATAAAAATGAAAATATTAAATGATATATAACCAAAGAAATAGTAAATGAGTAAAGATTGCAGGTGGCAAATTTCTCTTTGGCTATCAAACTGACATCAGGGAGAGTTCTGGGAAATAAGTGCCTGGCACTGCTAACAGAGCTGTTAGAATGTCATTTGGTAATGACTGCGCAGCCCCTTTACCACACCATTCTGCTTCTAGGTATTCGTATCTAAGTAAATAGTCATAGGTGTACACAAAATAATAGGGATAACAACATGCATAAAAGTGGAAGTGTATACTTGGCTTAGTATACAGTCAAGATTGCCTATGAATGAGTTATAAGTATATAATACAATCATTACAAAGATCCTATAAAATAATATTAATAAATAGCAACATAAGTGTATATAATTTTTAAGTTCCAAATGAAGTTATAAAACAATGCATGAGTAATAATTTAATTCTTCTAAGATGTATGGATATACATTATTTGAATGCTCAGGATGAAGTCAGAAATACACTAATCTCTGGGTATAAGGAACATGATTAATTTTCTATGTGGCAAATATTCTAGGTTGAATTTTTTAAAGTAACAGTTAACACATTGTTTATTCATTTACTTGAGACACAGACTGAGGTTGGGGAAGAGAAAGAGAGAGCTCCCATCTGCTGATTTCACTCCCCAGATTGCCAATGTGGCTGGAACTGGGCCAGGATGAAGTCACTCTGAGTCTCCCACATGGATTGCAGGAAGCCGATCACTTGAATCATTACCACTGTCTACCAAAGTCTGCATCAGCAGGAAACTGGAGTCAGGAGCTGGAGATTGGCATCGAACCTACATACTCTGATACGGGACATGGGCATCTTAATTGGCATCTGAACCACTAGGCTAAAGGCCTGCCAGAGCAAACACATTTTGAAGGGAATATCTACATCACGCACTGGTCTACAATACATGCACAAGTAACCAAAAACTATCTTTCAAACACATCTTAGCGAAAATTCTCCAAAATATTGGCACTTGCAATGCTATACATACAGAAGGGGCTTGCAGGCTTATTCGCTCATGAATCCATCTTGAGGAATCTGGATGTAATAACTGTGAGAAAAGAAGAAAAATAATTAGAAAACTCCTATTGAAATCTATATTCCAGAGAAATCTTTAACGTCTGACTACCAATCCATGCCCCTCTTAGTGATGCTAGAGAGATTCTATTCATATCTTTAGAATCCCTATCTATTTTTTGATTGTGATATAGTTATATATTTGAAAGGCAGTTGGGGGGGAGGGATGAGACAGAGAGAGAGAGCTTCCATGAACTGGTTTTCACTCCCAAATGGCTCCAGTGGCTAGGCTGGGCCAAGCCAAAGCCAGGAAGCTGGAAATCCATCAAGATATCCCTTGTGGCTGGCAGGGTCCCAACCACTTGGGTCATTTTTTTTTTAAGATTTGTTTATTTGAAAGGCAGAGTTACAGACACAGAAAGGGAGAGACAGAAAGAGAGGTCTTACACCTGCTGATTCACTCCCCAAATGGCTATAACATCCAGAAATAGGGCAATCCAAAACCAGGAGTCAGGAGTTTCTTCCAGGTCTCCTAAGTGGGTTTAGGGCCCCAAGCATTTGGACCATTTGCCTTTGGTTTTACTAGGTGCATTAGCAGGGAGCTGTATTGGAAGTGGAACAACCAAGACTCAAACAGGCACATATATGAGATACCAGCACCACAGACAGAAACTTTACCAGCTACACCACAGTGCCAGCCCCTTGGATCATCTTCTGATGCCTTCTCAAGCACATTAGCAGGGAGTAGAATTGGAAGTGGGACAGCTGGAGTTTAAAACAGTACTCCAGGCCGGTGCCGCGGCTCAATAGGCTAATCCTCCACCTAGCGGCGCCGGCATACCAGGTTCTAGTCCCGGTCAGGGCGCCGGGTACTGTCCCGGTTGCCCTTCTTCCAGGCCAGCTCTCTGCTGTGGCCAGGGAGTGCAGTGGAGGATGGCCCAAGTGCTTGGGCCCTGTACCCCATGGGAGACCAGGAGAAGCACCTGGCTCCTGCCTTTGGATCAGCGTGGTGCGCCGGCCACAGCGCACCGGCCACGGCGGCCTTTGGAGGGTGAACCAACAGTAAAAGGAAGACCTTTCTCTCTGTCTCTCTCTCTCTCACTGTCCACTCTGCCTGTAAAACAAAACAAAACAAAACAAAACAACAGTACTCCAGGATGGGATGCTTGTCTCACAAGCAGTAGTTTGACCTGCTGTGCTACAATGCCTGCTCCATCCCTGTCCAGTGTTTAAAAGTCTTGTTGTGTTAGCTATTTATGTCATGTTTTATGAGATCCAAAGGAATGCATTTTAACACACATTTACCTCAAACTATGCTCCCGCTGCCTACCCAGAAATCATTATTGCCACTCACCGATGTTTTCTTCTTCGTGGCACTTGGTTTCCTACAGCTTGAATAGTAGTTGAGGGTGGCATACTCCATCAACGCAGCAAAGACGAATAAGAAGCACACAGTCACAAAGAGGTCCATGGCGGTCACATAGGACACTCTTGGGAGGGAATTCCTTGCTATGGTACTGAGTGTGGTCATGGTCAGGACCGTGGTGATTCCTGTGCAGGGGGTAGTCATCAGGTTAGAAGAGGATGGATGCACCAAGGAACAACAACTAAGAAAGAAAGAAAGAAAGAAAGAAAGAAAGAAAGAAAGAAAGAAAGAAAGAAAGAAAGAAAGAAAAGGGAGGGAGGGAGGGAGGGAAAGGAAGAAAGGAAGAAAGGAAGAAAGAAAGAAAGAAGAAAGAAAGGAAAAAGGAAAGAAAGAGAAAGAAAGCAACATGATGCACAGCCCTCTCCCCCAATCAGGTTGTCTCACTTTGATGTGAATCCTTCTTGCTGTTGCATACTTAATATAATGATACTTTAATTTTAATGCCCACACAATTCTGTAAGCATCATTTCAACAGAATTCCTTATTATAGTCTTCAGAACAACATTAAAATACCTGAATCAAGTTGACACCCTTTGATTTATTCAGTATGGTCACATGCAGGATAATGACATTTCAGTCATTAATGGACCACACATATGATGGTGGTACCATGAAATTATACTAGTGATATTGTATCTTAGTTTGCAAGATGACACTCTATGATCTCACACAATGATAAAACTGTCAGTCAAAGCATTTATCAGAAAATATCCCCATCATTCATAGATGGACATCTGTAATTCTATTACTTGTTGACATTTTGTCTTTTAAATATTTTTTAAATGAGGATATAGTTCCAAGTCCCCCTACCCATTCTGTGCTATTCCACATCTCAAGTTTTTCTTTTCCAAACAAATCATTTTCTTTCTTAGAATTCCTGCATCCTTAAATGTGTAAACTCTTCTCGTTTTTCAAAACACAGTTCTAACACAATCTGAGCTGCCTTCCCCTACAACACCCCAGACAGAACTGATGGTGCGAGCTGTTGTACTGTCTCTGTCCTTCCTATGTACTTCACGGTTTGTTTCTCCACAATTGTGCGAATTGCATATGTGTTTCTCTCCCTGAAAAGACCGTGTGATCTTTGAGAGCAAATTTGTATCTTGTTCATCTTTGCCCGTCACTCAGCAGAGTGGCTCAAATATTTTAGACATGTAAATGAATGTTTTGCACTGAATGGACAGATTATTTGATGATACTCAATGTTGGCTTGACCTTGTTTCATTTACATGGGTCAACACTGAAGACGTTACCTGTGGAACAGATTTAGAAAAGAGACACACACGTGATGGATATTTTAGGAGAAAAAACAAATGAAAAAAAAAGGATGAAGACTATTGAACATGAAGAAAAGGAAAATGAAGCATAACCATCATGCAAAAAGAATTTGCACTGATTCTTCTTTGGATGAGCTCCCTGGGAAATCAGGAACTGGCAGAGCTATTGGGCATGGCAAGTTATTGACATGGATTCCAGGGTCATAGGAATCTGGAGTTTAATGCTACAGCACACTACTGGTCAGAGATTAGTCACACGTGATAGATGAATTCTTCTTCCCACTTCTGATGTAGAGCAAAAGCCACTGTCTAGTCTCAGACTCCAGCTGCTTAGGGCAGTTCTGCCATGTCCAGTCAGAGAATGGACTACTAGTACCACATGGGCAGCACATCAGGCATAAGGCATGTTATGTGGCAGTCCAAGCTCTCAGCTCTGGACCCTCTCAGTGTGTGGGTGGTGTGGTGTCAGTTGCCTTTTTTGGGTATGTTTCTTTAATAATAAATGTAATAAAATATAATGCCAGGCTCTCCTGACTGTAGGTGGGCAAGTCGTGACAGTTCATGTAAAACTGCTGTGTAAACTGGGAAGGTCTACACTGATGTCAGGTGTATTTTTACAGAAAAAGCTTTTGTAATAAAAATCTAACTGAACTTAAAAAAATGCAGTGACCATATCATGTCTAAGGAGAAATTCAGAATCCTAGTTTCTACTTCAACGAAGTTGTATCTGTAGTTTTTATAGATTTTGTTCATCCAGTCTCATTACTTGGCAATATAAAAAGTCCTCAAAAGCTCTAAAAAACTATGTCAATTTAAAGAATCTGTGCACCAAAACAAACTTATATCTTGTAATTTCATTTCCTATGAGCTTTTGAATTATCTGGATATTATCTGTCTTCACAAATAAAAACATTGAAAAATAAGAATTCTTTAATTATAAAGAAAAGCTGATAAAAATATGTTTCACAATTCTAAAATTACCGAAATTCTGTGTTTTAGCAAAAGGACTTTGGGGACCAGAGGGAAATTCATGAGGACAGTTTTATTGTACAGACTACAGTTGAGAGGTTTGAACATTCAGTTCAATTTATTTCTATGTGGAATACTGATTAGGAGAGATCGGCAAGGATGGGGAGGAGAGGAGACAGAAGAAGATTAGATAATGGGTACTGGAATACAGTTAGAGCAAAGGAATAAGTTCTAGTGTGCTACAACACAGTAGGATGGCTATAGATCACAAGAACCTATTATATATTTTAGGAATAAGTAGAAGAGAGCAGACTCCAACACAAAGTAATGATAGAGATGTATAATGCTGATTTGATAAATATATTTTGTGTACATAAGCTGAAATATCACAGTGTAGTCCATAAATACATACAATTATTACAAGCTTATCACAAAATTTAAGAAATATTTAAGGAGAAGGAAATGCTGACTACTCTGATGTGATCATTACACACTATGCTCATACACACATATTGAATTATCACACTATACACTCCAAATGTGTATAATTCAAATTTTAAAACATTATGTTTTTTAAAAGTTCTTGTTTGCTGCCAAGGTAGCCATATACGAGCAGAACTTTTTTTTTTTTTATTTGAGATAACCCTACCAGTATTTTTTTTTAAAGATTATGATTTATTTATTTGAAAGACAGAGTAGTGGGGAGCTGGGAAGAGACACAGAGAGGAAGAGAGAGAGACAATCTTCCACATGCTGGTTCACTCCCCAAATGGTGAAATCAGAGAGCTAGGCCAGGCCAAAGCCAGGATCCCAGAACTCTATCCACATCTTCCACGTTGGTGGCAAGGGTCTAAGAACTTGGGTCCATTTACACTGCTTTCCCAGATTCTTTAACAAGAAACGATCAGAAGCAGAGTAGCTGGGGCTTGAACTGGCACTCCAACATGGGATGTTGGTGTAACAAGAGGTGACTTAAACCCCTGCACCACAATGCCAGCCTCAATCCTACTAATATTGTGTCTTTCATCCCACAAGATGTATGACAAGTTCTGTTTGCTTACCTATTGTAGTGAGACTTCTGAGTTAACAGATCTCAGGGTGGACCTACATTTTGTAATGATACCAGCTTTAAGGCTTAGATTCAGGTGAGACACCTGATTTACTTTGAATCCCTAACCGCATCTTAATTTGAGCAGCATATATGGAATTTCCTTGTCAGAAAGGACACTAACTTGGATCATTAAAAATAAATTTAAGTGTAGTTCAAGTAGCTCTAAATTAGATCAATTACATCTTTACAAAGTCTCTTTGATGAAAGGTATTTTTATGGATATATCTGTATTAAAATTACTCACTATTTTTGCAGAGGGCATTTTTTTTGGTAACTTACCTAATGCTGTTCTTGCTGGTGTAGCATCTTTTTTAATCCAAAATGACACCCAGGATAAAACCACAGTCAGTATACAGGGAATGTATGTCTGAATAGTGAAGTAGCCCATTCTTCTACTCAATTCAAAATATATGGTCATGACAACATAATCACCTGTAATAAAATTGTTTTAAAATTAGAGCTTCTTACATGGGTTAAAAATGATTCAGTGAAATAATTTATAATTTACTTTGTGAAATGAATGACTTGGATACAATTGTACTAGTACAACGATATCAAACCAGGAAAAAAATTAAAATGCTGGTGTTCTTAAACTGAATGTTTATAGTATCCGTGACTGTGAAAGGTATTTTACTTGTTATTGTAAACAAAAAAGCATATTAATTGATAGAGGAGGCAAATGCGCATATCTAGTCCATAACAATACTGAGCCATTATCGCTTGAGTCCTTGTGTGCATCAAATGATTAAAATCAGGCGTATCAGGGAAACTCAGCCCTCAGACAGATTTGGTGTCATTTCAGGATTTTTTTCTATTATAACAGATCCATGTGATCTTACATAAACTTGTGCAAACATTTTATGTTTTTATGTTGTGATGTCTTTAATTTTAACTTTTGGGCTTTATGTTTTATGTCATATTTTTATATTTGTCTTAAACTTTTATGACTCTAGCACTCAGGCCGTGGTAACCCAGAAATAAAGAGAACAAATCATTTCATGACATTCTGCTTCCTCCTAATAAAGCAAAGCCAAACCATGAAGGAGTTAGGGGCAATGCAAATGTTATTAAAAAGGAAACACAGTGTAATCTGGGGCTCAGGGGGAGGGCGCATTCTCAATACATTAGAAACTTCATTTTAGAAGCATCTTGATTCATTGCTTTTCTGGAAAACTTCCTGCCAAGATTGTGTCTCTCCTCATCCTCCATCTTGTCCGTTTGAATCCTCCATCCCTTCAGCCTGCTATATCCAGCTTTGTAGTGCCTAAAAGGCACCATGTCCAGAGCAAACTACATCTTGACACTTGTCCTTTCAGGTCCTTCTCTCTCTTGTTCTAGGTGGGAACCAGAAAGCCACGTGTGATTCTTTTTTCTCATCTCGGTGGTCCCAGGTGCCACAAGCCTCTCAACTCCTTTCCCATCCAGTCAAATCTACCATCTTCTATCACGGCCCCAAGCTCTCTTCTGCTGAACAATCTCTCTCTGATCCTCACTATTCTGTGTCTAAAACCCAAGAGATATTTCTTTTCTTTTCTTTTTTTCATGTATTTGATAATTGAGAAGCAGAAAGAAAAAGAAAGAGCTCCTCTCTGCTGGTTTACCTTCCAAAGGCCTGCAGTAGCCTGGACTAGGTACAGGGTTGGAGACAGGAGATGGGAACTGAACCCAGGTCTCCCATGTGGGTGGCAGGGACTAAACCACCGAGCCATCACTGTTGTCTCCAGGGACTCCATTGGCAGGAAGCTAGAATTGGAAACTGGAGCCAGCTATCTAAGGTACTCCAAAATTGGATGCAGGCTTCTTAACCTGCAAGTTAACTGTTAGGCCTAATGCCTGACCCCTGAAAGATTTTTCTAAAATGTAAATGATATTATATTATTCTCCTTATAATTCTTAACCAGTGTCTTGCTTCCCTGTGCAAATGTCACACTCTCAATACATTCAATACCATTCTACATTAAACACTCCTTGTACTACAAGGCCTACACTACTGGCATCTGGTCTACCCACATTCTCAGCGTTACCTAAATCCCTAACCACAGGCCTCTACCCCTTCCTTTCAACCTATGATGCTTTTCTTTTTTATTTTACCTACATCCAGGTGGTTCCTATCCACATTTCTCTGAATCTCAGCTTACAAATCACTCCATTTCCTAGGAAGTCTTTCCTGACCCCATTCCAATAATTTTGGTGCATTTGTTTCTACAATTAGTAACATAGTTTCTGTCTTCAAACCAATAAACTAGTTGGGTTATGGAATATATCTCTCTTGTTCTTAGTGTTGCTTAGTGATAACAATCAATTAGTATTTGTTGAATGAAAAGATTATTATGTTCCCAGTTTTACTTAAAAGATCGAAAAGGAGATTAATTGAGCCCACATGAAAACTACAATTTCAAATGTCAGACATTTTTGGTATGATATTCTGTTCTGCTGTGGCAATATTCAGGATTGTTGATAAAAGCATAAATTTGTAGACATTTTTCAAGAAGCATTTAAAATCTTAAGCAAATTAACAAGTATTTCAGTACAGGATTATTAACCTGGAGCAATAAAAGAACACAAAAACATTTTCTAAATAATATGATTGCTTAAAATTACACAATTTTCCTTGGAAAGATTACTTGAATTGTGTGAGATTTATAAAAATTTATGTTAAATTATATATGAAACTTAAAACTGTAGAAGAAAAACAGACAAAAGGAAAAATAAACATAATCCATCATCCTAGGACTGATGAAGATAGCTTGAAAGGAATATCCACAGAATGGAACAGTGTCTGCAGATATCAGCATTACAAGTTCCTGAGTAAGAACACAGACAACTCCAGAGCAGACCTACCTTCTGTTTTAGTAAACCCACCCGCTTTCTCCCCACCTTAGAGTACGTGGAACTCTACACCTGTGCTCAGCATACTGCTTTCCCTAATTCCTGGTCTGCCCCAACATTCCAGTGTCAGCAGCGTACTCAGACCTTGGGCACCCTCAATGAGGCTCTAATTGACCTAGAAGCGGGTGTCTCACAGAGGGGAGGCAGAAGCAGCAGTCAAAGCCCTAGCCTCAGGTACAAGAATGGAAGTGTGCAAAACATTGTAAATAACAGGGGAGAGGCTATAGGATAACCCTGGAAGATGGTTCCTCTCCATCCATTCAGAAGAAAGGCTAAGCTGAATTAAAATTTTAGTCCCAAATTCTTGTTCTATTGATTTGATTAGCAGCCCATCCTCAGCAATTGCTTTGCAGCACTGAATATATTAACAGAAATTTGCCTAAGGTTTAAAGTGATTGTAAGGAAGAATTACAAAGGTGTTTTTGAAACATTATAGTGGAATGGTTTCTTTCATTCATTCCTTTATTCTAGAAAGAGAGTTCCATATATGGTGGTTCATGTAGGGAGAGAGGGGCCTACATTGTGTCTCTCTGAATCCAAGTTATCATCTTGGGAGGCTGTAGATGAGGCCAGTTTCAGATAGGTCAGAACCATATAAAGCCTGTACTGTGGGAGATTGTTATTTCCTTAGGACGGTGACTGCTAATCCCAGGCAAATAACCTTCAACTAGGGCAGATTTGTGCAAGAAAATGGCAGCTCCCAGAGTAGGCCTGGAAGAAGGGGCATTTCCCTGGAAAGAAGTCTTTGTTCACAGAAGAAAGTTTACTGAGCAGAGGCATGGTTTGTCTGGCTCATAAGCACCAAGGGTATACGTGCACACTTTTCTTGCTGATTTTTAAAATAAAACTACTTTGACATATACTTACATATTTGCCAAATAAAAAATTATTCTGTACTTACACTGCATGCAATTACATTTTTAAAAATCAAAGGGCGGGGCCAGCATTGTGGCGCAGTGGGTTAACGCCCTGGCCTGAAGCCCCAGCATCCCATATGGGCACCAGTTCTACTTCCCGGCTGCTCCTCTTCCGATCCAGCTCTCTGCTATGGCCTGGGATGGCAGTGGAGGATGGCCCAGGTCCTTGGGCCACTGCACCCACGTGGGAGACCCGGAGGAAGCTCCTGGCTCCTGGCTTCGGATCAGGGCAACTCCAGCCATTGTGGCCAACTGGGGGAGTGAACTGGCGGATGGAAGACCTCTCTCTCTCTCTCTCTCTCTCTCTCTCTCTGCTTCTCCTTCTCTCTCTGTGTAACTCTGACTTTCAAATAAATAAATCAATCTTAAAAGAAATCAAAGAACATGGCTCATTTAAATAACCTGCTAGCTATTTTTGCTAAACTTCCTATTTGTAAAAGTATCATTTCAATGAATCAGTAGATACATTATAAAATACGATTGGAAAACGAAGGTGATAGTATTTTTTTCTTTCTAAAAGTGCTAACCATTTGTATAATATTGTTTGGGCTACCTTCACAAAATAATAGACATCTAAGCAAATTTACAACGTTAAAATTCTAAGTTTTGGCTTCAAGACTTGCCAACAAATATCATCTCATGATTTAAAAGTACAATCTTTTTTTTTTTCAGAAATATTAATCTTCCCAGAAAATTAAGAAACCATTATTTACTCCATGTCTTGGGTACCCTCACTTCTTTATTGTACTCTAGGCATCAAACCCATCCTTTGAATCTCTTTTTTTAATCTTTTTTTTTTTAATTTATTTGAAAGTCAGTTACACAGAGAGAGAAGGAGAAGCAGAGAGAGAGAGAGAGAGAGAGAGAGAGAGGTCTTCCATCTGCTGGTTCACTCCCCAGCTGGCCACAACTGCACCCATCTGAAGCCAGAAGCTAGGAGCCAGGAGCCTCTTCCAGTTCTCTCACGCAGGTGCAGGGGCCGAAGGACTTGGGCCATCTTCCACTGCTTTCCCAGGCCATAGAGAGCTGGATCAGAAGTGGGGCAGCTGGGACTTGAACCAGCGCCCATATGGGATGCCAGCACTGCAGGCAGAGGATTTACCCGCTATGCCATAGTGCCAGCCCCTTATAGGTACAACCTCCCTGGCCTTTTTTCAGGGTAGCCTAAGGTTAGTACCTCCCTCCAAAGCAGCCAAGACCTGGTCCTTAGCAAGCAATGGTCAGCATAGCAAAAGCCTCGTCTTCTCTATCTTATCCCTCAAGTTTTCCCTGGGAAGATATGGGTTTTTATTTTCTTTATGCTATCCTTTTATGAAAATCTCAACTTTACAGAAATTCAATGTATCAGCCTTTCTGTTGGTACTGTTTGTGTCATCTTTGGTAATTTTTTTCCTTACCCAAGATCACCCAGTTGTCTTATACATGTTTTGCTGTTTTTAAAATCTAATTATCTACATATGTAATCGAGTCTCGTCCAAATCAAGTGTTTAAAATTCTATGATTTGTTGTTGCAACATCACTATTGCCACCACCAGACATGTGTAATGCCATCTCTCTTGCATTCATGTGTCCATATATGAATGGAACTGTGTGCGTATTGATTACTACACAGTCACCCACTCTACC